CCCCCCCCCCCCCCGAAAAACCACCTACCGTCTGTGGTATAAACGCTGTGACTGTGACTTTTTATTTTCTCGTAAAAGACGAGATTTCTGTTCCCAAATGGGAAAGTTATGTTATCGCGTGCACGTGTCTCCATTTCTTCCGCTGTATCCTGCTCGACTCGGGATGGACTTGACTAGCAACCCGTCTCCTAAATGGCCTAAATTGTGTTGATGATGGTGTAAAATAGTTAGGGACATCCACAGATGCGCCAGCCTGGAACCCGCTCAAACTATCTCTTTTATAAGTACTGTTTTGTTAGTAGTCTTATTTTTGCATTTCTCTTCTCAGATATGTTATAGCAGCTTCCCCGGAGCCCGAGTTTGCTAGATACATTAATTTCTGGACGCTGTCTTAGGTCTTCGATGTTATTCATATCGATACTATTTTCTAATTATATCTACTGTTTATATACACGATTTAGTTGGTTTGGTAAGTGTTTTACGGCTCTCGCAACTGCATAAGGTCACATGAGCATTTACAGTTTGGTAGGAAATTTTGACTTTTGCCCGGGTGGCGGCCGAAGCCTACTCTTATCAATTATGGACCACCAAGGGATCTTTAACGTGCGCAACTTGCACGCGTGAGCTCCGAGATTTTCCGTCCTTATCTGAAAAAGCTAGATGTAGATCTTACTTACCATAAGATCAGGGGTGTGGCTGAAATACAGCAGTAAGGAGCCAAGGATTAGCAATACAAAGGCAGCAGAAAGGGTCATAGAAAGAGTCCATAGGAGGGGCAAATGAGGTGACGGGACGACGGGGGGCAGAAAGTGGAGATGAAAACAGACGACAGAAAATTATTAGAGAGCAGGAAAGGATGTGAAAGTGAAAGGAGACAATTTTAAGTGAAGAAATTTTTCCTTTGCAATCCGGATTCGAACCCGTGACTTAATGAATGAGAGGCGAACACCTTAACCTCTAGACCATAAGAGCCCCCTTATACATATGTATATATGTATACATATATATATATACATCGTATACACACATATACACTTACACCTATGTCACATTTTGCATGTATTCTGAAAGGTTCGTGTTGAATGAATGTGTAATGGTTTCTTGTTGTGCATATATAATACGTATGATATGATATATATCATAGAAATATATATGTTATATATATATGTTTTACGACCACACTGACACAGTTTATATTATATGTATTATATTATATTATAACATGTAGTATACGTGGACTACATGAAACCGTACCACATAACATACGTTCTTTCAACATGAACCCTCCAGGAGGGGGTGTGGCATACAGAATTGGGGATCATGAAGAAAAAATGCAGTAATTATTGTCCCATATTTATTATTAAGTTTATTCGTACAAAATTGTCATGCACCACTCATGCTGTGTTTGACACAAATCAACACATTGAGTGCCATATATTTTCAAAGTGGATTTATAATGTACAAATTTAATACAATTGTAGTGGTTAGGCTCTTCGCCGTTGCACAAGAAGATATGACGTTTGATGGCCGTGTGTCGAAGGTTTTTATCAAGTCTCTCCGTCAATGTGCTGGACGTTGTATCCTCTCAGCCTGCCTGGGTTGGTCTGACAGGCAGAGTCGAAGCAGCCCGCTTCCAGTACAATTTAAAATAATGTAGATGGAGATGTATGTCATCTTCATTTTCATTTTTATGATTACTTCGGCATTGGTCTTTAAAAATAGTAGCGTACAAATACAAACTTATAAAAATGAGTAAAGTGTCACATTTCTCTCTCTCTTTCTTTCTTTCTCTCTCCGTTTCTCTCTGTCTTTCAACATATCTCGTTCCTCTATCCGTCCATCACTCTCCCAGTCTCTATCCATCCAAGTACAAGTTCATGAAAAGCATTGCAACAAAAACAGCTGTGTGACTCGGAACCAAATAAACTGGTTCGTCATTTCTCAGATCAAACGAAAAAAAGTTCTCAATAATTTAAGCCATGTTTATTCCTTCCCTGGACAAGAATCTTGATCGACTCTTCAGAAATAATTTAGAAATCCTTCAGGCTAAAAACTCTTTAACTCTTTGAAGACGTAGCAGACAAATACGTCCGATCAGCAGTACGCCAAAGGCAATGTTGTAGCACATTTCGAGACATCTTACACAAATAAGACACATGAATTACATTTCATTGTATACCTTTTGTTGCTAGTCATTTTAAAACAGACTGGAAAAATGAGAATGAATAACGAAGTTATGCTTCTTTTTTAAAGCGCCCCAAACCGCATGTCATTATTAAGAGTTTTGATGACCAGGAGGCACGTCGTCAAAGAGTTAAAGGCTGAAGCAGCTTTTCTGTGGCTATCCTCCTTTTAAAGTGGAATGGATAGTTAAGTGTTTGAAAGAGGTCGAATTGGAGAAATCAACATGACTGCACAAAAGAGAAGATGGAAATATTTGAGTGTGCCAGAGACAAGATTGTTTTATCAGACATAGAACTGGAGACCAATAAATGAAAAAAGAAGTAGACCAACCGGGTTGTTTGTTTGAGTAAAACGAAGCACATAGACCCCTTAATGTCAATTTAGTGCTGGGAAAAAGTATGACAAGGAGGTGGAAACAACTCAGGGGAAATACAGAAGAAATAGAACACACCCCAACCACCTGCTGCGACCGACTGGCAGTCATGGGAGTACGATCAGAGATTAAATATCACCCAAGACCTAGATATTATGTCAAATATAGAGGAAGTGTCCAGGGCCAGACAAGCGTGTTGTCGACTGCTTTCCGCTTTGTATACCTAACAGTACAAGGCGAGTTGTAGAAGTTTTTGTAGTTGTATCCTTTCCTAGGTCTATATTATACATAAAGGCAGAAGGAGGGGAAACATGCCTGTATATTGTTGATACAAGAATGTCAAGCGATATCATGGCCTTCACTTGTTAACTTAGCGTTCAATTGACCCTGCTTTTGAGCATTACAAGTTTATCATAGCTCCAAATTGAAGACTGTTTTTTGGCTTCTAGCACCTGTTTCTTTGTTTAAATGTAGAGAGAAGCACAATGGCACTGTAACGGTCAATTAGATCTAGTAAGTAGGAAAACTTGAGTTTACCTTCAGTAAGACTTGAGGTGTTACAAGAGAGTAACAAACACAGAGTAAGTTAGTTTACTTACTAACAAACACACACAAAAAAGGATAAGAAATCAGGGAGATATAATATGTTTGATAGGAAAGAGGTAGTAAACCACATCTGAACACCTGTCAATCATCAATGAAAAGGGTAGACAGACAAAAAGAAACAAAAGAAGGAAAGGAAAGAAGTAGGACCTACATATACCAGCAGCGTCCCATCCCTCCCACCCCAACCAAACCACCCGGAAGGAGCAACAGGTTGAGGATATTATTATTATGATTGTGCATTAAATGGTTAAGCATTGACTGCATTAACTACTGGAACTTTTTTGTATGTACAGAGTAACATTGGCTTTTGGGAATGCTATCGCACAACACAATTGAGGAAAGGAAGTGAGAATGTAAGGGTATGTCTTTCCTTCTTCCCATCTGCATTTCTTTTGTTCTCTGAAAATATTAAATACATGTACAATTTAAACTTTTAGTAGGGTTTTGTGCCCTGGAATTGAGTATTTTCATTGGGTTTTTTATTTACACTGGAATGTTGAAGCTTATACTTTTCTTCTGAGCCTTCTTACCTTGTCGTTTTAGTAAGGGTTTTACGGCACTTGCAACACAATTAAGTATACAAGTGTCGGAGATAGAGGTGCTACGAGCGAGTAACAAACACCTAAAAGAAGGAGAGAGGGGGACGATAGATATAAGACGGGAAGAAAAAGGGAGCAAACCATCCCAGACCATCCGCCCGCCCACCATAAACATTGGGGATTTTTATTTACTAACGAATGTTGAAGCTTATGCCTTTCTTTTGAGCCTTGGACATTGTTGTTTTACGTCACTTGCAATATATAAGCGCCAGGGATTACAGGTGTTTCGAGAGACAGGGACAATAGATATTATATAGAACGAAACAAGGAGCAAACCATACAAGAGCACCCGCCAACCACTAGCGTTGGGGCTCGCTTTTTTTTCTCTTTTAAACAAAGGAATGTTGACGCTAAAGCCCTTTTTTTGAGCGTTCGACCTTTCCGCGTGTGGACTTTCCTAGAGTGAGCAGAAAATCCCATTACAAGGTGGAGCAGCTTTCGCCACCCCAGCACCAGCTTGTCTGTGACGGCTCTTTTGTGAGCCCGATGATTTCCCCATCCTTCCTTGCGTCCCTAGAAACGAGCAGGCCCGAAGCTCGCTTCTTCTCCAAGATGCTGTGCGCCAATTTGGTAAAGGCTTCCTGGACGTTGCTGGCATTCTTAGCACTGGTCTCCAGATACTCCATGCCTAGCCTGTGGGACAGAGACAAGATAAAATGTGAACATTTAGAATGAATGTAAATGTAGGTGGGTTTCGTTCACGCTCCCATCGAAGTAGGTTTATTGAGTGTTTAAGGCCATTGGTGCTCATCCTCATTGCCTTTCTCACTCTGGATCAGGATATATAAACACTTTCCACCTTTCCCTATTCTGAGCTAGTTGCTTGATGTCACTCAATGTCTTCTCTCTTTTTTGTACATCCATTATCGGTGCACATAACATACCGGTAACATAAAATACGGACTTATTTGTTAAATAAAGTTTCCATTAAGAAAAAGTACAGGTTTTGCACATATCTCTTATCACGGATCAAACATCGCATGTTTCTGTCATTGGGCAGAGTCAGGTTGGGAGGAATTAACAATTTCCTTTGATGGGGAAAATTCGGTCAATAGAAAATAAAGCGAAATTTGACGTAGTTCAGATCACATAGAAGGAGGGGTCCCAATCCTGCCTATTACTGTTAGGGCCAACCCAGACTGAGAGGGATACTACACTCCAGCAGGAAGACTGAGATACTTGATAAAACATTTCCATCTATTCGGGAATTGAACTCGGGTCTGTTGTGTGCGACAGCAAAGCGCCTAACTGCTACACCACAGATGCCAGTGACAAAAGTTCAGTTTGTATCTATTTCACTGTTTGTGGGAACAAGAGACCAATAATAATGCTATATTATTATTATGTAAATGGAGTCGACAGGAATACAAGAACAGTTATGAAAGAAGCATGCAAAGTTACAGCTAGACACAAAAACGACTAACTAAGAGGAAAGTAAGATAGCTAGATAGAGAAATAGTCAACGTATATCGAGCTGTACTTGTCGCTTTGATGGTCTGAATGGAGAAGTCTGGCATTTTGAATATCGCTTGACACAAAGTACCTTCTGCAGTGAGGGCACTATTTTTGTTTCCGAGTCTGTTGGGTTTATGGTTTCGACAATGGAATGATACAGCTTTCATACGCTAAGAATTTACTCTTTCCTCTGTCATTTGATATCAATTTGTTACTACACAGCCTACGTGTACAGAGTTATAAGCGTTTGCTGTTGGAGGAGTCATTTTGAATCGCCCTGTGCATAATTTGTTAGACGTGGGCTGCCCAAACCGCTTCATTTCAAACCGATTAGTTCCGCATGACCTGAGGAAGACACACACACACACACACACACACACACACACACACACACACACACACACACACACACACACACACACACACACACACACACACACACACACACACACACACACTCTCTCTCTCTCTCTCTCTCTCTCTCTCTCTCACACACACACACACAATAAGAGAGACAGAGAGACAGAGAGACAGAGAGAGACAGAGAGAGACAGAGAGAGAGAGAGAGACAGAGAGAGAGAAAGAGAGAGGTTGCTAACCCCTACACTGCTTCGCCCTAAACTGTGGCAAAAGCTTTTTGATATAAATGTAGATCTATATCTTTATATCTTTATTATATTATTTATAACTATAGCTGTAACTTTACGTCTTTGAGGTGTCCCTGCCGGTCAATATCAGTCATATGAAGGACATTTCAAAACTGAGTTTACATTAAAAAAAAAAAATTACCCCATTTTCCCTACCATTTAAAACAAGAATGAAGTAAATATGACAATGTCTGACGAAAATACAGAACTTTTAATTGTGCGAGGAGAGGAAACACGAAAAGGAGAAAATGGCCTCCAAAGTTGAGCAACATGTTTCCATAACAATGGGGGTCTTGGATATAAGAGATAGAGACTTGAAACTTAGCAGTTATCTTGGCTATGCCACTGCAAGGTAACATACAAAAGTAGAAAACTATTCATGTGCAGAGAAAAAACTTATGGACCAAACAAAATTTTAACGAGAATGGACTTCACGTCAAATGCAACAAAATATTAGCATTATACTAGGTACCAAACACTAAATTTTCAAAGTAGCTGTAGGTCAAATTCATCTGATTCATATGAAAGACCTATGTCTCCTGAGATTTTTGATACCATACTTTAACCTCTCAGTCAATGTTTAAGAGAATGGCAGCTGTTTCAATTTAACATAATAATAAAATATTGCTGAAGTCGTTAACTGGCTGCAACCCCATGTTTGAAAGATAGTAAAAGAGTACCAAGTGCACCAAACATCTCTACATTAAAAGAGTACAATCACTATAACATAGAAATGAAGCCTTATATTTTTCAAGACTGTGAGATCATTTCAAATCAGTATTTTATTGCCTCAAACACGGTGATCTGTCGTTATTTCAATAAAAACATCGAGTGTTTTCTCGGTCAGCGCCGCACCAGCCTTCGCAAAGAGCGAGCCCGCTCAATACTGTTGTATACTGAGTGCTCCCGGTAGTTTCGCAGAAGAATTCGTGCAAAATAATTCCAAGCCGATGATTTTATTCTAATAGAAAAAGAACTGTTCTTTCTATTGGTACCTTTTTTAGCCGGTCATTTACACATTTCGTGTTAAAAATGATCTTTGAAAACTTAGACCCTTTTTTTTCAAGGTTTTCTATCTAAACGCCAAAGGCCAAAAATAATAACCACGCTCAAAGCTGTATAGTTCTCTGCCAATGAAAAGACGGTATTTAATCATCAATCTTTCTGCAAAGCATTCGAATGCATGGATGTCAATTTTGATTCGGGGGATCTCGCATTTCGACTGCAAGGGGCTTCCCTTTCCACGGAGATTCTCCAGCCCTAAATACCCGGATATACAAACAGCTTACACTATTATAACGAAGGAAATCTGAACTTTTTCAAAGTGTTCAGCACTAGGTGTTAAATAGCAAAAGAGCAAAGAAAGAGAGGTCTGAATTATCCCCATTTCACCGAAACCACGCGCTCGGAAGGCCGCGAGTCGGCTTACGTGCCGTGTTTACACTACCTGATTAACGTTTGCAATAGCACCATAAACACACGAGAGTACACACACACACACACACACACCCACACACACACACACACACACACACACACACACACACACACACACACACTGTGCGCGCGCGCGCACCCATACAAACACACCAACACACATACACATAGACCGCCTCGGTGGCCTCTTGGTAAGGAGTCCGCTCTGAGAGATCTAGAGGAAGGTTAATTAATCTTTTAAAAGATCTAAAATACAATAAAAACGAACTTTTAAAGTCAATCCAAGTGTAAAACTGAAAGATCAACAGACGATAGCGGCTAGCAGGGCACGCCCACACAGTCAGTTGTTTACGTAAACAAGCTTGAAGTGAGCTAGAAGTTACCGTTTTTACTCCGTTTTCCCAATCAGGGTGGATTACATTTCAGACCATTCATGCTCGAACAGGGGTCAAAATCTAAAAATAGTTACGAATGAAGAAGGTTGGAGCGAAGATGTTCCACTAGTGGAGAGTCTTTGGTGGAAGAAAAGGTGGCCATGAGGTAATGGTTCTAAAAATAATCTCACAGTTACACACTAGCAAGGTCCAAATTCCTTTATCTCGTAACCCGAGCTCACAACAAACCACACACACCTCCAAAATAAATCAAAATAACATATTTACAGTGGATTATAAATGTTTTTTAAAAATGAAGCAGAAGACATCAAACTTTCAATAGATCCAAAAAACAAACATTAAATGGAAAGTCACTTTTTTGTCTTTCGAGCCTTCTACCTGCTAATAGCACAGTGCGTCTTACGGCTGATATTGAGCGGGGCAGACAGAATATCACCATTTTATATAGCACAGAAAAGATAATAAACTCACTGTATTAAAAAGCTTGATTGATAAACTGATAAAAGGGTGGGCTGGTGAGATTACTTAGATTTAGATGGGACCCAAAACACTCGTATGTTCCATGTACCGGTACTCGCCTGTCTGCAAAAGCCTGCGCTGTCTGTCTCTCCACCACTCGCTTGGCCGTCATGTCTACCTTATTCCCAACCATCATGCGAACACAGTTGGGACTGCCATAGCGCTCTGCCTCGGACAACCAGCGAGGCAAGGCCTCATAGCTGTCGAGATCCGTGAGGTCGTAGACCACAATAAGGCCGTCAGCTCCGCGATAGAAGCTGGACACGATAGACTTGAAGCGGTCCTGGCAATCGGAGAAAGTAGATTTTATAGCATCGGTGTGTTATTTTCGTTATCGTCATTGCTATTTTCGATGATGATGTCGATGGTAATGATGAGGATGAGGATGAGGATAATGATGACGATGCTGATGCTGTTACTGCTGGTGGTGGTAGTAGTGGTGGTGGTGGTGCTGCTGCGGTTGTTGTTGTTGTTGTTGTTGTTGTTGTTGTTGTTGTTGATGATCATCACCATAATAAGACGAAAGGCTAGATTGGAGAAATGACAAACGGCCGGCTGGACTAGAGCAGTGACAATGACAAATGGCTGTATTGGTGAACAGACAAAAGATCAATTGAGAAATGACATAAGCTCAAAAGTGAATTGGGAATCGACAAAGGCTGGATTAATGAACTGAAAATACGGATGAAGGATGTTATGATCCAGACAGACTGCAGACCATTTCAAATACCTGTCCTATGTTTTGCTTTAATAAAAGTTTTATAGCACTTGCAGCACAGTTAGATCAAATAAGAGCTGACGATTAGAAATATAGTAGAAGAACGATAAAAACAAAAACATGAAGTTTAGTTTTAATAGAAATTTTCTGGCAATCGCAACATACCATGTAAGTATCGGAGATTAGAGGTGTTATAAAAGAGTAACAAACACAAAAATTACAAGGAGAGATTAGTACGATATATGTTTGCTAGCAAAGAAGGAGCAGACAACGCCAGAGCACCCGCCAACTGCCAAAGATACCTGTCCAGCCGTGTCCCACAACTGAAGTTTTGCAGTTCCTCCCTCAACGTCCAAAGTCTTAATCTTGAAGTCGACTCCAATAGTTGTGATAAAAGTCTCAGAGAACATGTTGTCGGTGTAGCGCAGGAGCAGACATGTCTTCCCAACCCCTGTGTTCCCAACCAGGACCAGCTTTAGAAGAAAATCTGGCTCAAGGAGCTGGGAGTCGTTGTTTACTTTGCTCTGAAAAGTGTAGAAGGAAGTGATAAGATAAGATAGATAAGATAAGATACATTCTTATTGTCCAGATCCTGGCACACTGGTCTGATGTCTCACCGCGCGCGCGCGCAC